GCCCCACATGGTCTGGAGGGGGAGGAGGGGGCGTGGCCACACCGCACTCACCTGATGGGCGCCAGGCGGAGCCCGGACTCCCGCTGGCCCAGGGGCCGGGCAGAGGCACCACTCAGCCGGGTCGTCTTGCTCAAAGGGTCTGCAGGCAGAGGCTTCTGGGGAGGGTTTGGCTTACGAGTTCCCTGTAATAAACCAGAAGAGCGTGTGTGGTCACCATTCCTGCGAACTTGGACAAGACATTGACCTCAGGAGCCATCAGTGTGCCCTGAAGGGCAGGCTGTGGACAGCAGCTAGGTCGCTGCACGGCACAGGCTGGACTTCCTGTGAATGGAGTGAAACCCTCTGACCGTGCGGGTGTGGTGGGGTGCGTGTGCGTGTGTGTGTGAGGGGGCCTCTGTTAGAGATTGATCCAGAGCGGCATTTGGTTACAAGCAGCCAAATGTGGGTGTTCAGATGCCACGCTGCTCACAGGCCTCGGGAGTATGGTTGAGGCTGGTGTCTCTGAGACAGTGGACCCAGGGGACGTCCACTTTCCTGCGCTTTTAGGCTTCCTCTCAATTTTGAAAGGCCTAAAATGGTAAGTTGGTGAAAATCTTTTCAAACACATTCATTTCTTCAAATTTGCCAGAGTCCTGTAAGAGAACCTGCTCGGCTGTGGACGGACCGGATGGCGAAGGTGATCACCGCCCTCCGTCAGCGTGGGGCCGGGAAGGTCGATCCAGATTGCTCCACGAGGTGCACCTCGGTTCTTCTGTCCAAATGCTTTCTAATAATTAATTCAAAGAATCATAAACTCACCAGAAAAATGACACCCAGAAGGAAAACCGAAGACATAGTGGTTTGAGGGACGGATACGATTCTGTAAGGAAGTGAATGGGGAGGCGCCCTGCCGACCAGAGGCCAGCGAGGGAGCTGGCAATAGAAGGGCGCAGAGCGTGGGCCTGTGTGTTCCACTCTGGCTTTTATGCAAAGACCAATACTCTGGGACTTGTGCCATTCACTTGACCTCCTTCCACCTCAATTTCTCCATCTATAAAATGGGAGAACACCAGACCTATTTCATAGTGTCTTAAATAATGCACAGGGAGCCCCCAAAGTATAGATAACAATTATTCAAAGTCCCTTGTTTCCCCAGGGCCCCTTTCTTGGCCACCGGGAGAGGGGGTTCTCTGGGGCTGGGCTGGGAAGTCGGCATTGACAGCGCTCTTTCGGGTCGGGGGTGAAGACAGGCACCAAGACACCACCTGTTCTGGTCCTTGGAGCCAAGAGGCCCTCATAAATGTACAGAGAGTCTGTAGGAAATGGTGCTGGAATCTCAAGGACATCCTAACAAACGTGACCTAACCCACTGTCACGGGGCTCAGTATTCCACACAGCCAGGAACACTCAAGGTGATTTAAAAACGTCTGAGTTGAATTTCTCACGGTCCTCATCCCACTAAAATTGCATCTCCTCAGTCCCTGGCGCTCAGTGCAAAGAACGCGACAACATACTCACCACTTAGGGTATCTCTGAAAAGCCAGGGAAGCTAACGCAGAAGTCTGTCAGCCACAGCTGCGCGGAAAACGCGCCAAGTTGAAACAACGGGCTGGTTGGGATAGGAAAGAGTGCCTGACGGAGGGACAGACTGAAAAGTGACACGGTTCCATCAGTTCTCCTCAAAGGAAACATCAGCCGGCCGTGGAGTAGAAAACAGAACACGGCCCTAACCAGGAACAGAGGCCACACCGCGCGCACCAGCACGGAGCCAGGCTGCCCGTCCGCCCGCCGGCTTCTGCGCTTACCAAGTCGCGGGCGCACAGGTCGCGGAGACGGGGTGACGTGAGGATTAAGGGAGAGATCCTCTGTAAATCTGTTAGCACACAGGGCCTGGCACTCAGCTGGCCAGTGAGGTCGCTGTGACCGCCTCACAACCACTGTGAATTTCCCAGGTCCCGACAAACTTTGGATGATAAACTCTCACAATAGCTCAAGCTCCATTTGAAGCAAGTTCCAGATGAGCAAGATATTAGTGGGTCATGTAGGCATGAACGCAGCCACGAAATTCAGACTTTGAGGATTAAATACTTCATTCCCTAATGACACTAGTTTTGCCACTAAGTATCTAGTCTTGGCAGCAAAGATAACCTCAGGTTTTTACTGCAACGTCCGAAGACAAAGTGAGATACGTGTTAGTGTATCACAATAGACCTGGATTTATCACGGAAACTTAGGAGACAATTAGGTTGGCCGTTCATTCTGGTTTGCCTGTGACAGTCCCAGTGGCTGCCCTTGTTTGATTATTAATCGCAGTCTCTCTCATGTGTCCTGGTGTAGAGGGCAAGTTATATGGTCACCATAGTGATAAAAGCCCAAACAGCTGGGATGTTGGTGGAAAGTTCTGATTCAAACCTGGGGCCAGCAGAGGCACCCGTCCGCTGTCTTCCTGCCATGCCCAGGACGTGATTTTGATGGAAACATGAAACAGGTATTTGCCTCGGTAAGATGCCAGCTTCCCACCAGGCCCAGCTGGGACAGACCAGCACCAAGTCCGAGTTAGTCCAAAGATGATGTTTCCCCCTCTCACAGATCAGACGTGGCGACGCGGAGCCCAGGAGCCACTTGGGGAGACGTGCCAGCTGCACGCGCTCTGACCTTGGAGAAGCGGGTGGGAGCGCCGCCCTCCCGTTGAGGCACCACGCTTCATGCTGCCCGGGCAAAACCTGAACCTGGGCTTCCCCCAAAGAAGTCCAGTCCAGCCCGGCCGCAGAGAGGCATCGGAGCGGAGCCGAGGGACAGCGCACACTCACACACTCCTTTTGCTTGATTTTAATTTTAAACAAGGAGATGAGTTCAGGACACCTCCCCCCACCCCACCCCCATTTCTCTTCCTTTTCAACCTCTACGTATCAGAGAAAAATGGAGATCTGATACTAAAGAGAGTTGTCCTATTTCTCCCTGTTCTGCTTATGTTCTCACAATAGTTACATATTTCAAATTTTTTAGAGGGTTAAAGACAAATATTTAAATCCAAATATAGCCCTTGGCCTTGACCATCATAAATTCTCAACTGTTATCTACTTCTGCATGATAAGCAAGAGTAAATGCATCCTGCTTATCTAGAGAGATCTCCCTGGGAAGACTGGATGTTATCACAGGAAGATGCCGGGGGTGCGCAGCCGTCCCTGGGTTGCTCGCGCAGGGCCGGGGCAGCACAAACGCCGCTCACTGTCTGGCCCATCCCGGCCCTGTGGGAATAGACCCTTTATGATAACACCAAGGTCAGCTGGTTCTCAGGAAGATGCCTCCATTTCTTCTTCTTCTCTAATCAGAAGCAGCAGGGGTCTTTTAAAGAACACGTATACACCAGCTTTCTCCTGGGAAGAGGAAGCTGGGGGTGGACTTGGCAGGGTCTAGATGAAAGTAGGGGAGGCCAACCCACCCATCATCCCTCAGAGCCCTCTGGTCCCACAGTCCCTCATGAGGTGGGCGATTTGGAGCTGGCCCTGAGCGCTGACCTGACCTTTCCCCCAGTGTCCTGCAACTGGTCCTTCTTTCTGGAAGGACTCCTTCCCTTTGAAGAGGAGTTTAGACACACTAAACAGAACTACTGAAAGGAAGCCAGCACGGACATACTGCCTAGCACAAGGACCCACATTCAATATCCTATAATAACCTATAATGGAAAAGCAGCTGAGAAAGAAAAAAATATATATATACATATACATACACATACATATATATATACACATATACATACACACACACACACACCCCTGTACACCTGAAGCTAACACAACGTTGTAAGCCTGTACTGAACACAGTCAGGGCTGTGAGGGTCCAGCTTGACGGAAATGGGGAAAAGTTCAAGGGTAAATGACAGATGAAGAGCACAAAGGTGATACACTCACAAATGGTGTCACTTAAGGGGTTTGAGCAAACAGTAAAGAGAGAAAAAATACTCAGACTTAATTTGTAAAAACTTTTCTGAAATAGTCAAGTCCATGGATCGAAAGTGCGCACTGTTTCTGTGGGGAAAACAAGTCAGACTCAGAATTAAGACATAACCTGTCAAAGCTGCTGGAATTCAAGGCTACGGAGTCATGTCACTTACAAGGGAAAATAAGTCAGCTTCTGACCTCTTCAGAGCAGACAGAGGGAGCATGCGTGTGAGTTTCGGGGAAGGAAAGTGTGATCCGTTAATTTTATGCCTAAACTGTCATTGAAAAAACAAAGCAACTGCCAGATGTCTTTGAACATGCAAAATTCAGGGAATAGGCTTCCTAAGAGCTCTTCTGAAAGGAATTCTGGAAGTCGAACAGAATGGACGTCAGCCAGCTGCAAAACGAATGGCTCAGTGACAAAAACGCTGAGCACTGAATCCCTTCGGTGTAGACCCAAGGCTGACAAAACTGTGGGAATTACGGCCACAGAAAGAAAGACACTATTACAAGCCATGATAACACAGGCAGTACAGAACTGCCTGAAGTTGGGGGGTGGATCTTCCACTTCCAGATACACGGCAGGCTGGGTTATTCTGACCTACCTTCTCTCTAAAACCACTAACATTATTGGATAAAATGTATTTAAATTTTTTTCTTAAAAGCATCAAAGAGCTACAAGATAGCAAGATGTCATCAGGCCAACACCTAACTGAAAGGAGAAACCCAGAGAGGTAAGGCGTGCACGGAAGCTGTAGGCATTTGCTAAATTAGGGAAACCTGGGTTTTGGTTCTGATACCCTTTTATGGTGAGGGATGCAGGAGTCACAGGTCAGCGCCAGTCCCAGTTTAATAGGAGACCATTCTCTTCCTGACTTCTCCCCAGTAAGTCTGGGCTCTGTGAACGGCTATCCCTCTGGGTAAGAATGTTCCAGAAGTAAATGCATACCACTGCCCATCCCTAGCTGACTGCAAGGAGCCCCTGGGTGCTGGGCGGACCAATGCAGGACAATGACCTGCAACCACAAATCGCCCCAGAGGACCTGAAGCTGACGTCACATCACCTGCGTTGCTCAGTAACCCTGAGCCATTTCAAGGGGCCTCGAGCTGGTGCTGCCCTGGGCACCTGGCAGAGGCAAAGTATCATCCTCTCCAGAGGAACCACCTGCGTCCTGGACACCAAAGGCTCCCAGAGACTCTTCCAGAAAAGGGAGCAGCTCCCAGTAAATGACCGAGCACCCAAAGCAGCAGGGAATTGTGAG